GTCCCTGCAATTATTCATTATCCCTTAATCGAGGTTTGCTAATCAGCTCGCTAACGTTTCGCATAAACAAACGTTAACATGCAACGTTAGCCTAATCTAAAATGCTCTACTACGGCGTACCTTTCATGTGGCCTCATCAGCGCAGACTCTTGCATCGTTATTTTTGCAAACTTGTCAGGAGCCTACTCGTGGGCTTGACCCTGTCTTAGCCATGGCTTTGTATTTGTCTTCATCGCTAGCCAACGCTCGTTGGAACTGCAACCTCCTGGCACACTGTCATCTATCACTCTCATCAGCCAAGTCACCAACTTAACAAAAACACTTGCAGGTCACGTGCATAGCGCGGGAAAGCGGAGCGGAGCTGTTTTATTAAAAGCCAAAGCAATTAAGCTCGCTCCGACTTCTTTATTTTCTTTTCATCTAAAAGCGAAGTAAAGCATTTACAATTTCAAGCCACTAATCCTTAATTCAGCACCATTCCCAAAATGCAAGCACTTTCAAACCTTGAAAACACCTCATAAAATGTCAACGCATTTTCAAGGATTTCCAGCACCCTGTACGAACCCTGATTAAATAATATAATAGTATTAAAAACTAGAAAAATTCAGAGAAATGTTGCTGTGGTGACCTGAAACGTGGTGTGCGTCCCGAATGCCAACGGCGTGCGTGCTGCGGCGATCCAACATTACCCCCGCTGAGTAAGTATTAATAGCCTTAGTTATATTGTTAAGGTACAACAAAGAATATCCATTAATATTTAGGTCACTTTTAGCTGACTATTTTAACTGTTTACTCTATACATTTTAGATTGTGGCAATTTCTAAATGAATCACTGACATCAGATGATTAGCTTAAAACAGAACATGAACATTGGTAAGAGAAAAGATTGTACTAACTCTTGATGAACTTGGTGGTTTTGGACCTGGAGCCCTCTGGAAGAGCAAAATACTAGATCTGTTTCCTGTTGACGGATAGACTCACTGGCAAAACAAAAAAAACATAAAAGGTTAAATACATATCACCAAACACATTCACCAGTGAGAACGAAGCTATAGTGAACCTACGCGGGCATGTACTCTAATGATGCTGTTGATCAGGTAGAAACCGTTGGTGGTCATTGGCCTTGGAGGCGAAAGCTTTTGGAAAACTCCAAGCAAGCCAGGCGAGAGGGAAAGATGAGCAAGATGAAACTCAAAGTGTTAGAATAGTGTCCACACATGAATCAACAATCATACAATATTTAAATGGTAAGATTGAATAAGACTGCTGTATATATGACCTCTCCCACCTACGATTTTATCAGCAGCAGAGCTGGCATAGAGGCACCTCCCTTCTCCAAGTAAGCCTGAAGCAGGCGCACGAGAGGGGAAATGTCTCCCTGTCCGCTCCCAGACACGGCTGCAGCAGGTGAGGGAATAACGCCATGTTAGCGAGGAGGGAATAGAGTTGGCGAGTGGATCGTCTAGGAGGAGCAGCACATTCTCACCCTGCGCAACTCCACGTACGGGAAGACAACTCTGCTACAGAGAACAGAGAAGGTGAGAGAGTTACCTCTACAGCAGGGTGTCCAAACGTTTTTCACCGAGGGCCACATACAGGAAAATATACGAAGGGATGGCCGCTCACTAGAGGTGAGTATATTTGCCTCATGAGTTCAATTATTAATTAGCAAAATCAACAAATGAAGGTCAATGATGCGTGCAGAGGTTGCACTCTTGACTTTTTCGCTGCCGGTCATTTTGAGGGACAGGATCGCTAACATTTCCGTCAAAATCCATTATTACCCGTCGGTCGCTCGTGACTGTCAACGGGGGGTGGGGGGACCTCGTGAAATATTAGTGCCGGTGTAATTGCCGTGTTGTGCATGCCCACCTCGGCGCTGAGTTTGTTCTAATCCGTCAAAATGGCGGCACGCTGCTTTCAGATTTTTCCGTGCCATTGTCAAGAAGATTCGTCGTCCGACGGAAAATATGGTTCGCGACCCTCGTATGCGTGTGAGTGTTGGCAGTCCATCCTTAAACAGAAGCCTCAGATTGATAATAATAATGAGACAATATGAAGGGTGTATTCAAACTTTTTTATGTAAATAAAGTCATTGGGCTTTTTCTTATCAACTAAGGGGTTACATGATCTCCCAACTTGAATGACCGAATTTATTTGAAAAGTGGTCTTATGACTACTACTGTGTAATATATTTATAGTAGGGCTGTCAGTCGATTAAAAATATTTAATCTCATGTTGTCATAGTGTGAATTCTCAACCATTTTTATGTTTTTAAATGTACCCTAGAGGAAGTATTTTTCCAGTTTTTATTACTTTTATCAACATATGAGTGGACAAAATGAGCTTTATGCTAATGTTTATTATCATTTGACAATGACAAAAATATTCTCATGAGTATTAAACACAACAACTCTGACAACATTACATCAATATTCGCCTCAATTCATCTGGAACCTCTCTCATACAATCAAAGTGTGTGTTGTGTGTGTGTGATGTGCGTGTGTGTTGTGGGTGTGCTGTGTGTTGTGTGTGTTGTGTGTGTGTGTGTGTGTGTGTGTGTGTGTGATGGATCGTTGGAGCTATGTGCAACTCAAGGCATATGCTCGAACGGGAGCTGCCTGGACGCTGCAATCATGTTGCAGTAGCGGGGCTGTCAGCATCAGCTTGTAGATGGTATTTTAAACTCGATGCGCTCTGAAACGCGTTATTAACGCATTAACTTGACAGCCCTAATTTATGATTAAGAAGTACAATATAAGACAAGCCCAAGTTTCATTTGTGGGCCATATTTCATTATACTTTTTGAATTTGGTGAGGGCCGATTCAAAATGGTATTAGTTTGGACACGGTGACGACGAGCTCTACGTCATCAGCATGTTGATAAATGACATCAACATAAATCAATTCCATAGGTGAATGACAAACCCTGGACATCGTTCTGCAGGATCTCAGTGAAGACGGGGAACAGTGCTTCCTCGAAGCTGCTGACCGTGGTGGGGTTGGCCTTGCAGGTGATCCGGACCGACAGGCACAAGGACTCGAACAGGTAGTGGTTAAAGTGAGGCTTGCTGGGATTCTGAAAACAAGATGTTGGCAAAGTTGACACGTGTATGCCCTGAACAAGCATCTAGGTGAATCAATCTGCATACATAAAAAGTAAACGGGGGGGTTACCTTGCTGACTAAGAGGAGCTTATGAGTCAGTTGACCAATCAGAGTGGGAATGTAGGGGACGATGGCATCCTGCAGCAGGGAGAAGCTGCGCATGATGGCTTTAGAAGTCAAAAGAAACAAAAAGGCATGATGAGGCTACTTATAATAACTTTGCAGTTGATTCAACACTGACATAGAAATGGTAATGAGGAGAATTTAGATGACGGAGAAAAGTCTCATTTACCTTTCATGATGTATTCATTTTCTTCAGACCCAGGAAGAGCCAATGCCTTGAACAAGTTGTTTAGCAGCTGTTCAGTAAAAGGGGCCATCTCTGCGGGCGTGATACTGAGAACAGAATTAAAGGGTTATTATTATTATATATAGTCTGAGTGGACTTTACACACATTGCCCCGTTTTTCCCTCTGCTGTCTTAATATCTGTTTGTGTGCTGTATATGACTGCTATTATGGCATACACCGGTTCTTAAATATAGTGGTAATGATCTTGTTTCATACTGGATTCAGCAAATATGTGAGAGAGCTTGAATCTTTAGGATGTAAAAAAAAAACTGAACAACTATTGTTGACTTTTTATGCATTTGAAACAATTTGAAAACTGTTAGAAATTGTTTTGGTTCATTCAAATATCATTTCCCGTTTCCTATACTTCTTAATACTTACAGTGTGGAGTTGTTGGGGCCTCTCATGGTGAACAGCCTCTCCAGAGCGTGGGCAGCGTACGTGTGCTCCACTGTGCTCTCCGCCTGCAGGTGACTTATCAGCAGAGGAACGGCCTGCAGCAGCTGCTCCTTGGGAAGCTGAGGGGAACGGACAAAGAGGCCGTCTGTGATGCTTTCTTTTTGCCATTTGAACATTTGAAAAGGCGCTGAGAAAGTTGACAGTTCATACCTGGCTTCTGAAGATCATGACATACTTGATGGCGTCTGCCTTCAACACTGGGAACTCGTTGACTAAAAAAGACAAATTGATGTTAGCTAACAAACAACTCAATTTAGAAATATTTTTTAGTTTTCCCACAACTCACAGAGCCAAGTCTAAAGCAAGTTGCTGTTGTCACATAATAAATTTTTATGATTCTATACAATATTAAGAAATGTGGATTATTCTTACCATTGGGGGATTTTAGGTCTGAGAGAATGTGGTTCACAAAGAACTCATTCAGATCCACCAACTCATTGGCTTGTGTTATCCCATGCTGGTGAGGGGGGAAAATACAATCACTCAAACAGACTGAAACAGTTATTCTCATTTTATCAAACACTTTTTATAAATGTACCTTTTTACTAGCAGCTAGATATTCAACAATCCTCTGAATATGTTTGCAACATACCTTCTGTGTCTGTGCTTTCGACGCCAGTGATGTGACCAAGTAGATGGCGGCATCTTTATGTTTCCAGTTCTGCCCAGGGCTCTTGGCGTACTCTCCCAGCATAGAGTTCACATAGCCAGAGAAGATTGCTGTGACAGGGCCCTCAAAGAACTTACAGAGGCCCCTCACCAGGTCACATGCGGCCCTACGACGAGTGTCAATGTCTGAGGTAGGATGCGGGAAAGGGTAAACAGTGGGGACATGGTTATCATTAGAGCATTTTCTTCACAGTTAGTTATTTACGTGTGAACTTTTGAGTGCAAAACAAAAAACAACAACAAATAAAATAACTATGCATTTGGGGTTTGACGGATCGTATATGCCAGGAGACCCTTCCCAAAACAATAGTTCAACTCAACATGTGAAGAGGAACTACATATTCGTTTGTGTATTATTGTGAATGGTTTGCATTATGCTAAATCTTTACCAGATCCTTCAAGGTCCCTCCGGATGTATTCCTCAGAGTTATCTTCAAAGGCCTCCTCGTCTGCACCTGATCAGGATTACAAACATCCTTGTCAGTTTCACACAGTGCAGGTGTGTGTACCTGCAAGCAAAGCCCTGCACCAGCCATCCACTGATGACATTTCCTGGTAAAATCAAAAGCTGAAAAAAAAAGGAAGCATTTATTTACTTCTGAACTCCATGTTGGGCACAATGACCTTCTCACAGATGCTAGTGAGCGTGTTCTGGTCCTCAAATAGATGCTTGTAGTGTGGCCTTTCACACACCGATGCCAAGAACTGGATAGCATTGCTCACAAGCTGCAACAAATACGAGGTGCATTGTTAGTAGAGGGAAAGGGAACTTTGAAAAAGGACACATAAACACAGTCAGGGTACACGACTCTCACCAGGTCATATTTGACTTCCTGGCCAGTAGAAACTAAAAGGTTCCAGATGGCCGTGACAAAGCGCGGCAGATACGGCTGGAACTCTTCATCGTACTTCTGAGCGTAGAGAGCCGCGTTGTCACAGATCTGAGACTTCAGCAGCTCCAGGAGACCTGCTTCCTCCTCGTCCTAAGAGACACAGCCACACACACACACCATTCAAATCTCTGTAGCACCGCAATGGCGGATTTTTTTTTGCATGAGTGGAGAAAAAAAAGGAAAGAAATACTCACATTTGTTTGTAAAAGTTTATTATCCAAAGTTAGTAGGCCGTGAAAATTGGTCATCCATGTCTCCATGTTGTCTTCAAAAAACTCTGGAAGGTCCTTTGTAATAATACAGAGTTCAGTTGAAAGCACATTTTTCACATCTCTGAAGGAAGTGTAAATTCATTACTAAAACAGTATATATATGCTGACCTTTACATGGGGCAAATTCATAACGCATGATTGCCTTTCAATAATTACACATTCATTACAATTTATAATTACTATTTTGTCACATCAATAAAAACTAATGATAGCAAAACAGTTCAGAAAAGCAAAGCCTGGATGCACAAAGCTAATTTTACTGACCTGGAAGTTCAGACTGTAGAAGAGCTTGGAGATGAGTGTGAGGGAAGAGAAGAGGACCTTCAAGGCATTGACGTCTGTAGCATGAGTCTGACACAACTCAATAGTGGCCTACAGCATAGAGTGAACATTGATAATGAACAAAACGTCATCATATTTGTAATTAGCCAAAGTAATGCCTTGCTTTGAAGTTTATATCTTGTTAATTCAACATCTATATGTTCTACTTTCTTGTCTTTTAATTAGTATTGTACAATGCCATGTCTTTTTATGCTGCTGCAACACAAACATTTCCCAAATTGGGATCAATAAGTTACTATCTCATCTTATATCCATGTCCAACCTTTTGAGATGGGTTAAGAGTTGTGGTAAATGAACCTCAAGTCATTACAAACCTTGAACAGCTCCGTCAGAGGAAGGGCAAACGTATCCAGCACAAGTTTGATCTCTGTCCAAAGCTCGTTTGACTTAAACTCATGGCGGTACCTTGGGGACACAACGTTTATTTTTTTATTATTAATAAAAATGTGTTTAAATGTAATAATTACACTATTTGTAAAATGATGAAGCAATGAGATGTACCTTTTAAAGAGAGAATGTGCTGTACGAAGCACTCCATTGATGATGTGAAAGTCTCCACTTCTGAAGCGGTTCACCATTTCAGTTAGCAGGTCGGGCCATTTCTGAGGGAAGTCTTCCCTTCCTATGATACTGATGGCATCACTCAACTGTGGAAAAGCAAAGCATAAACAGGGGTTTGGATGAGTATCTTCCGACACACTTTTAAATTAGATTTGTTTAAACACTATAATAATAATAATAATAATAATAATAATATGTGAGGATGTACCTGTTTTTGAATCTGTTCTGGGCTGCTTAGCATCAAATTGACTATGTTGGCTTTGATCGCTGTTCGGTCTGCATCAGAGACTTTGTTTGGTTCATCTTCAACCTTTAGAAAAACATGACAAACGCAGGACAATCAACTACAACCCCAGAATACACAGAACACTTGTTCTGATCAGACTTTGTACAAAATGCTACTTAAGGTACAGTTTGTCCCATGCAGCCTCAATCTGATGCCAGACATGCAGGGTGAGACACTGTGCCTACACACAAGTAGGCTGGAGGATATATTGATATCATATTGGTGTTGTGATATTAGACTAAATATCATCTTATATTTTGAATATTGTAATATGTCATACATATTACAGTCTTTCTCTGGTTTTAAAAGGCTGCATTACAGTTAAGTGATACACTTGTATAATACTGAACATACTGGACTGTTCTGTGTTTTGCTTTTACCCACTTAGCAATTCAGCACATATTACAGAAGGTTATTCATAAAAAATGTATTGTTTAATTATCTTTTTAAAGCACAAATAGTCAACCATAGAATATACATCCTGAGGTATTTGTCCTTTATAATTGTGATGTTTATTTTGTAATAAATTCCAATTCCACCGGCCCTCCTCCGCCAGTTATCACTGGCCCCACCATTGTAACCACTGGCCCGGAGCATTCGTCCACCAAAAAAAAATCGACTAATAATGAAGAAAATTAACACATTTGTTGCAATAGTTAGCCTAATTTATGCACCAACTACATTACTACTTGTAGTACAACATTTGAATCATCAGTTCTTCCTCATTTTCCTCAATTGTTCATATTTTTTTTTAAAGCAATATTTGTAGTGGCCCGAGCGGGCAAGTGGAAAGTACGTTATGCTGGCCCGGGGTGTCTAAATAGTGCTTCCGGGCCAGCGGGCCATTTATAATGTCGAGCCCTGCTACATACAAGATACTAGCGTAAACAATATGTAAACATGATGTTACTCAGTGAGACTCACAATGCGCCAGTTTCTTTTTATGTAATTCTTGAAGGTAACGGCAGCACAGACTCGAATGACCTGGTCTTGGGACTTCTCCAGCATAGTGAGCAGTAACAACGGATAGTTCTGGTTGCCCTCCACTGATTCAAGAAACTTTTCAGCTAAGAAAAAATAGAAAATAGAAAGCAGGTGTTTTACATGAGAGACAACACAATCAAGTTAATCATTAGCATGAAAAGGTACATTAAAACATGTATTTTTTATAAACCGTATGAAGATATGCAATGATGTGTCATTACGATGTTTTACCTGGACGTCTGACTGCTGGATCTGGGTCCAGTGTTTTCCTGAGGAACTCGGTGAGGGTTTGGAGGTTAGCATCATTTAGCTCCATGCTTGTCACTAAAGACAGTGAATGAGAGAGATAACTCAGTATCTGGAAACTATTCAAAGTTTAACGTGACACACATGTGTGACATTGGTTACTGTAAGATCATGATACCTAAAAGTTTATAAATGTGGGCAAAATGCAATTGTAATTCATGTTTGTTGTGTATGAAATTAGTTTTTGCACTGCTCTATCCAACAAGTCAATGCAGTTCTTGTTACGTAGTTCATATATATTTTTGCTAGTTTCAGTCATGCTCAACTTGCATGCATTCAGTCTGACGTTAGCTTGCAGCTAACAAGCTAGGCTACATAGCCTCAAACTGACGTTAGCTCAGTTGGCCCCGCTGACTCCTGATCGGTTTATGCAGTCTGATATCTAAGCTAGCTGTCTAGAAAGCTGTCTAGTTTTCTACAAGTTAAATACAAGCACATGGCGCTCCCTGCATCGATTTAACGAACAGTTATATTTAACAGAAATTATCTCCTGATCCAATGTCCTAAACTAAACTAATTCAACGGTCAATCTTATCTAAAGCCGCAAAGAAGGCAGTATCCCATTTCCATGGAATAGACTGATCCAGGTCCTCCAAGTCAGCCTGCTAATGTTAGCTGCTAGCATGCTAATGTGTTTTCTGCTAAGCATAAAGTTAGCTAACAGTCCGAACAGTTCAGATTTACTGCCAATATATTGGACCAGCACCCAATTTATAAGTGTGTACCCCGCTTGACTGTATATAATTCATGTTAAAGCATCGGGATATCTTACCGTTACAGTATATTCAGTCAGGATGGGTAGGGAGGCACTACAACCCGATCAGCCGCGCGCTCACCGTGCCAGCTTTCAAACGTCTGAGCAAAAGGAACTGCGCGGTCACCATACTACGCACGCGCAGAAGACAGAGGAACGCTCTTAGACACGCCCCTTGCTCGGTCTCCATCAAGTACAACACAAGACAACTTTACATCAAATACTCGTTCAATATTCAAACGAAAGGTTTTTAATCATACCAGCCGATGCTGTACATCGTGTATGTTGTCATATGTATTTATGTTGCTATCTGTATGTTTAGTTAGTTGTGAAAACAAATAACCTTCTGGGGAAATAAATCCAATACAGTTTAAGTAAAACAGTACAATGTTTTCATATGGGTTGTCTTGTCTTTTTAAAATAATATTAGGGTGGTCTATTCTGTAACACCTTGTACATGCAGTTTTTGCGCTCGCCCTGTGGATGCCCTCCCGCATTATTCTTTGCACTGTGTATTCTCTTGTTTATTTTTGCAATGTGTATTTCATTATTTATTTACTTTGTATGTAATATTGTGTGTACAATATTGTTTGACTGTTTGTTTATTACCTTTGTATTCTAAACTACCAAAAATAAATGAGTGGTATGTCAGTGAGTGTTTGTGTTGTAAACTGGATTTAAAACTATCCATGTTAAATTCTGTATCCTCGTACAGTTGGTCATACTAAGTGAATGAATACAGCCACATTGAGCTCTTCACATTTTAATCATGAAAGCATAAAGGCATTCATCACAGAATGACAACCATTAACAATAATGCACTTAGAACAATACATCTGAAATGTAAAACAAAAAACAGCTTCAAACACAGTGAGCTTTTAAAACTACAAACACATTTTTAAACAACAACACAAACTTAAAACTTTTAGTGAGCTTGCCCCCTGCCTGTCTCACAGGAACAGCAGACAGAGGCTCAGCATACGGGCATGCTACAGGTTGTGCGTCTGGCGTATGTTTAAGGTGTCTCGCAGCATCAGGTCACGGAGTCGCCAAAGTGCATCTGCCATTGTCTTGTGGGCCCCCTTACTCTTCAGCCAGTGGGATGGCAGTCTGCTCTCCTGCTCTTTAGAGAGGCGCACATCTTGTTTTTGAACTGTAAGTACACAAATAAAACATTAAGATTATACATCTTAGAATATTTACCATTCTACATTAATGTATTAATAACATTTTAGGGTTACTGAATATGATGTTGATGTACTATATTCTGTTCAAGGTTTATGGAGTTGAACAAAATATGTATTTAAGTGCATGTCTAGTGTGACTTTAATCACTTGTAATCAAAAAACAAGACTAACCTGAAAGAGCGTGGTCCCACTTGCTGATGGTAGAGGACTCTGCAGTCAGGCCCTCGATGTATCTGAGGTATGCCTCAGAGTGGAGCAGCCGCTGAGATTTGGCTGGTGGGGACACGAACATGGGGGTGGAGGGCTGCTGGTGCGCAGGCTGTCCCATCTGGCCTTGTCCTGGGTACGGTGGGGGAGCCTGCTGCCCTTGGCCAATCGAACCCATCTAATGAAAATATTGGCATTCATACAGGATTACATTTTCATTATCATCTTGAGATCATTGAAGTCCCAATCTGCAACGGGTGTCAGAAAATCTTCAAATGCATCACATAGTGGTTTTTACATGTTCTGTTGATTAGGGCTTCAAGCACAACGTTTTCTACCAGGGTCCACATATTTAAATACATAACAATCATTTGAATGCTTCTTTAATGATTCAAAACAATAACTCTCAAACAACACTGTATGGTAATGTGTGTATTATGTTTCTTTAACTAGTGCAGTATTTTAAGTTTAATGTATGTTTCTAATCCCAGACAGAGATATGATAGGAATATAATAGTAATATTTTTGCAGGGTTTAAAATGATGTGTGAACTGTTTCAATGTTCTATGATTCAGGCATACTTCTGACAATATCAATACTGTGTTTATGAAGAATATTACTGAATAAAATACTTGGGGAATGGGGAAAGGGCTTACAATCAGAGCTATGCTCCACTTTTCCATATGGTTGCCTGTTTACAGAGCGTTACAGATTACCTGAGATCCTTGAATGTTTCCTGCTCCATGACCACCTCCCGGGCCATTGACACCTGTGGGGATATTCAACATCAAGACACTGTCAAGAAGTGCAGCAGGCCATTTGATGTTGGTTTAAATTACAAATACTAAATTCAATTTCTGAAATTAACCAGTGCCATTTTAATATAGACTAGAACAATAAGGAATGCCAATTATTAATATTTTAACTCAAATATATCAGGTTTATGATATTGAGCAGGACAAATAGCTGAGCCCCAGTTGAGGATGTTATCTCTCAACTGACTAGTGATTTCAGGACCTCAGCCTATTGGTACAGGTAGCCCCTCCAGCATGTGAGATTGGCAGACAGGAAGCAACTGCGTGGCAGGTCGGGTTGCTATGACAGCACTCTTACCAAAGTACGGCCTTCCAGGAAACCCAGGCATAACGGGCAGGAGATGTTGGGGAAAGACAGGCACCCCCATGTGATGTGGTGGCATGCCAGTCATACTAACCATGCCTTCACCGTATCCCTGCATCATAGCTGACCTATATGCACCCATCATACCTTCTTAGGAAGGGACAGTAGTAACACAAGACAGCAACATGCATCAGTTAGACATGCACCAACTACTTGCACTACCAAGCATGCAGAAACATGTTAATATAGATGCTTTCATTCAATCAACAGAGCATTATGATGTTTTTGAACTGAAATAAAAAGGCACAAAAGTTAAATGTGCATAATGAATACCGTTTTGTTTGCATGCACTATTGTCAAGCACTTATTCATTTTTAAAGGGCAGTGTGTAGAATTTGGAAACAGCTAGTTTTTTGTTGCAGATTTGAATTGAAGTGAACACCCTGCTGCTAACCCCTCCATTTTCAAGACTGCAATGAGCCATCATTAAACCGTGTTCATTTTGTGGTGTCTTCCAGGACCTTAAAATAAGGTCTAAAATGACCCTTCTTTAGAAACGACCTAATTCAGCCTGTGGTCTGCATTACCACACATTTTAACAAATTCAATCTGCTAATATATTCCCCTAAATACTACACACAGGCTCTTTAAGTCCCAATCCTCAAACAGTGGACAGCAACCTTAAGCTTCATGTTCTGCATTAAAATACAGATATATGGATTCTATCATGATGTTAATAATACAAAGTACTGTACAACACTCAAGGTTTGGGCTTATAAATAAGTTAAACGATGTTAGAGACAACATATAATTAAATCAGGACACATGCAGGCATGGGTGTGATTAGGAAACTTGTAACAAATGACAAAACATCTGGCAGTTAAGCTTCTTATTCCAGCCTTTAAGTGATCCCTCTGCATCTATGAGGGGTTACCTGACACAGGCTTCATGCTCTGATTTAGCATCCCCATGGGGATTGGGGGAGGGACCCGCACCCATCAGTGCCCCTACTGGTGTACCTGCTCTAGGCGACGTCTGATGATGGGCCCTGTCCCGCTCCTGCTGCTCTGCCAATTTAGCTGCTCGCTCTGCAAAGCAATAAAGACCAGCAAAAGTGTTCATTTCATACGGTTCACAAGTCTTGAAACACAAACATCTAGGTGAAGAATAGAATCAAACAAGTCCCCCCCACCTTCATAATCTGCTTTCCTGGAACCCTCGAGGTTCCTCCACTCTGTGCCGACGAGGCGGCTGAGCTCCCCGAAGGAGAAGTCTGGGTTCCGGGCTTTGATGACCGCCCGCATCTCACTGCTGAACAGGATGTAGCCACTCATGTTGATCTTCCGCTTGGAGCCCTCCTTCTTTGGAAGGCCCTTTACGGATTTTGGTGTGGACTGCAAGCGAACACAGTTCAAAGTGTCTTTACATGAATGCTAACAGCATGTTTTCATAGAATATTAACATTTGTAACTCTTCCACCCTGACCTGCAGAGGAGTGTAAGGCATGGTATCCATGTCACTAGACATGAAAGAGTGCCTCCGAGAGTGAGACCGGTCCCCTAGCTCGCCATCATCATCCCCAAGATCCTCTAGCTCCTCATCTGTCATATCAGCAAACTTGGCCTCCAGTTTCTCAATTTTTTTGTCCAGCAGAGGGGAGGGCTCCTTCTGGGGCACGATGAGCTTCCTGTATAAGACATCAGAAAACAATATTTACCGGATTAATAACCTTTTTTCAAATGACTCCCTCCTTTAGGAAGAATAAGTTATTCTTTAATTAAACTGTGCACCACTGCACCAAGCATAGACAATCAAGGACTTGATGCCGCCAACACTTGTTTCTGTATAAGTGCATAACTACCGAGTCATTTTTGTGCATAATTATTGCTAATTCAAGTTAAATCAAACGTTTTTCACCTAAAATAGTAGATTTCATCCTCCACCACTTTCCCAGAGAGTGAGAAGCGCTTAAGGCCCTTGAACTTCTTCATCTGCTTCTCACTCTCGATGTAGCGGCTCTCACAGAGCAGCACGTTCTCTTCAGGCACTTCAGTTGGCCGGCAGGAGAGGTAGTCTTTGAAGGACGACACCACACACTTCCCTGGGAAACAAGACAGCTGTCTCAGTACACGGTCTCTATCAACTACATAACTGAGACGTCCTACACTGCAGGATCTATGAAAACAAAGCGGTATTTGTGCAACATGTTACCGATGACGCAGGTCATAGGGCAAGTCTCCTCAAGGTTGCTAAGGAACACTTCCTTCTTGTAGAACATTTTTGTTGGCTCGTGCTCCGTTTCCTCTGGATGGATGAAGATTGGACCAAAGAAGTAGCCTGCTCCATCTCGCATCCACATTTTCTCAATCCTGTTCAATATAGATACAAAAACTAGAATGACCTTCGTCGGGTTGTTGCCTGCAGCAACCACTCAAGTTCCAGTTTACAACCATGTCTGTCCAGACTATGAAAGTATGAAATGTTTTTTTGTAAAAATGGAAGTGATTCATATATTGGTATATATATGGTGGTATTGGTATTAAATATTCCAGTTTAACACATGTTTAGGGTTATCATTTCAGTATTCAACTAAATGGAAAATATGGCTAC